TGATTTAAAATTTACATAGTTCCTACGTCCGTTATGAAACTGTTAGTATTAATTTTACAATTATTTCGAGAACCTGCAGATGGTACTTTCTCCGATAAAAAAAAATTATATTCTACGAATCGTATAGAAATTAGAAATTTAAATATATTTTTCTGAGTTTAAAAAAAAATATATATATTTTTATGTTTACTATAAATTAGTTATAAATTATAATATTTAATCTAATTTCATGCCTGTTGTGTGAAAAATTATTTGCTCATCATGATTAGGTCAATATATGCAATTTGATTTGGTTTATGTAAATTTAATTTATATAAAAAATGTCCAATATAATCACGTTAAATTAAATTTATTATGATTTTTTATTATAAATTGAAATGTGGAAAATATACGATTTAATTGATAGCATCATGACTAGGGTTTGAAAATTATAGGAGTTGCATATTGTTCTGTATGCTCTCGATTTATAGCAAATCAAGCTAGAAATCCGAGCTATACAATGTTGGTTTTAAAAATTGAAAATTAAAAATGCATATCTTGCATATTTCGTTGATTTTCATTGATATTTCGCATATTTGTAATGCATATTTAATATTTTCTAAAAAGATTAATTTTTTTCATTCTTCAACAATTTATTTTAAATAATGTTACATAATACAACGCTAATATAACGCTAATAACGCGGAAACGTGCATCATATAAAACTCATTATTATTTTTCGTGGCTATTTATTGTTATTTTTTAATGTCTACTATGAATTAATACAATTTTTTTTAATCATAGGTTTTTAAAATTTTCTTATTAACTTTTTATAAAAAAATTAATATTTTTTTTTTGTATATTTTACAATTTTTTCATGCATATTTTATCATTTTTTCGTGTATATTTGCATGCATATTTTGCCTTTTTTGGCTCCTATAACTTTCGAACCCTATTCATGACAAGGGCGTAATTAGGGGGGATTAGGGGGATGGATCCCCTCCAAAACTTTTTTTATGTATTTTTTTTATTTATTATATTATGATAGTATGATTATAATCATTATTATTATTATTACGATTACTATTATTATTATTATTATTATTATTAAAATTTAAATTATTAAAAATTTTGTTCTGGTGGGGTGGTGGGGTTAATGTATGAAGTGTACAGATTTTGCTAAAACCTATAATCCCCCTAAACCAAATTCCAAATTACGCCACTGAATCTAGACATATTTAACACATCATATATTTAATTGTTAACGTATAAATTATTTAAAACATAAATCAATGTATGGGTATTTATAAGTAGCAGTATCAATGGACAAACTTTATTGAATAGCCATTGTTTTTTCTTACCTAATACGTTGTAATCCTTTGTTAAATTTGCGCTTGTGCAACAATTTGTGTTTTTTAATTGTCTTGTTTAATTTCGACGTATTATGTAGCAGTGTACATTGATGTGTAATACAGTGTAAATTCTTATTTTGGTTCAAAGAACATAATATACATTCATAAATAACATATGCAAATTAAAATAGGACCTTATCCTTTATTATAGTAACATATATATTATAAGATTATGAATCAAGTAGATGTAAATTTTAAAAATTCAATTTTTTTCCCTAACTATTATACTATTATACTAATATTTTGAATATTAGTTAATAATTCTGGCAATTTTATGTAAACGTTGTTTTATATTTCAATGGAAGTAAGGCATATCATTAAATTAAAAATACGTGATGCGTTACTTCATAATGATTTTCGATAATTTGGTGTCAGACTTTGATATTTACAATAGGTAACGAAAAACTTATAACAACTCTTATAGTAATATTGTTTCTATTTATGACTTAAATGTTATAATATTAATTTAATTTTAGCGATAAGATTAGTACGTACTCGTATCCTAAATCCGGACCATCTTATTAAAAGTAGCTTTTAAAATATGGTGCACTTTGTAGCCATGATCACAAGAGGAAAAACGATCAGCGTAAAGTTGATCAAGTGTGTATTATAATATGTTGTTTTAATGGTTTCGACAAACTTGCGGCGTATCTAAATTATTAAAATCATCCATATATGACTGTTGACTACGCAAAATTAATCGCGTGGCAATTCATTGAGTTTCATTATGTGACAATAAATTGACCATGACAATTCACCACGTTTGGCAAACGACAATTGATTGCTTGCAATTTATTAATAATAAGTGTTATCTGTTATTAATATCAGTTATTGATGGGCGTGCATAATACATTACATAAAGGTTACGCTGCTTCAAAAGAAGAAAATGTCAACCGCACAAAAATTGATCAATATGTCGTTGCTAAATCGTTTTTTTTTTCCGTAAAAACTATACTTATCTGAATAATATGATACATAGCAAGTAAAAAACCAAATAAATCTATTTAAATTTTGAATTTGAACGGGTTATATAATTTCAACACATTGTTTAAAATTTTCAACGTAATAACCATGAAAATGTTTGCAACAGTCGTTTTTTTTTCAATTTATCGAGTTTATTCAAATTATTTACTTGACTTACCTGTATTATATTATTAACATGGAAGAAAGATTTTTTTTTTTTATTATTAAATTCTTTTAAACATTCGAATATTCTGTACATAAACTTCAGTTAATCGTGAAACGATTAATTTTCGTACCATCAACAATAGTATAGTTATAGAATAGTTTTTACTCATTGAAGTGTAGTTGATCTTATTGATTTCAAAAGTGTAAAATATTAATATTATAACAATTATTATTACAAGATATAAATACTATTTCAAATAGTGATTATATATTTTAAACCAACGAAATTATTTCACAGGATGATGAAAATAAGTATTATCCGATCAGTGGCGTATCCAGGATTCATTTGACGGGGGTGTTTTGAAATTTAATAGACTTATGGTAAGTGGAAGGCTCTACCCACCTTCTATATTACATAAATAAATACCATGTATTTATAGAAATTATTATACTAATGAAAATAATTATATTAAGACAGTGTATGTAAAATCAACAAGTTGTATACAAGGTTTATTCAAATTATAATGTAAGTTTGTAATTTAACGAAAGACCATAGAATATCGATGGGGGGTGTTACAACACCCATATCACCCCCCCCCAAAAAAAAATACGCTCCTGTATACAATTAACCTGATGATACAAATAGAGCCGAATTTTTGTTGTGTTGAAGGCACGTTGTCAAAAGATCTGTTTAACTACGTAAAAATTAGGTGTCGCTTCACATCCTATGGTTAATTATATTGAAAATATTTTTAAATAAATGAAAAAAATAAGACACACAAATATTGAGTGACACTATTAGTTTATGATATTAAAAATCGTATCCATGATTTAATTTTTAATAAATTATAAATATAATAATGTTTAGATGGGAGAACAGTTATGTTTAACTGAGTCTTCAGCTATTAACCGATGTCATTAAACTTTCTGTATTTATTAAATCCTATTATTATGTGGATAAAGAAAAGTAATTTTTATCTATTTTAACTTATCGTTTGACTATAATATTATTTGTTGTTTATGTGTGGTAAAAAAAAAAAAAAAATAGTAGTAAAAATATTAACTCAAGATTTTACTTAAACCACAATTTATTTTCTAAATATTACATTTGTGGAATATATGTATTTGTACAATATTGGAATAGTAATAAATTGTATTATTTTACTTAAATTTTACTTTGGTAAACACTTCGTACATTATTGACACATTAGATTAAGTTCTAGCAAATAAATGTCTTACAATAACAACTTATAGTATTTTTTCAAATAATATCTATTTGAGAAGTAGTAAAATGTCGGTTCTCAACTTTAAAGGTCGTTCATATTATGCATGTTTCTTGCTTTTCGTTTTGCAGTGTTTCGTAGATACGGTATATACACTATGCATGTTACGCATTTTTCGTTTTGTAGTGTTTCGTTCTGTTTACAGTTTACTGCTTAGTACGTTTATTTTATATCAACATATAGGTTGTTCGTTTATTTTTATTTAAATAAAAATGAAGTAGAATAAATAAAATAATATTAGAATAAATGAATTAGTGATATCGAAGATGAATTATCAATTGTCAGTGCAATTTATATTGTATTGGCTCCAAAACAAAAAAAAAAAAAAAAAAAAAATAAAAAAAACCAAAAACACGAAGATGGTGGACTTGTTGGATAACTTGAATTAAAAATAAAGAACTGTATGTATATATGAAAATATTTATTTTAATATTCTAAATGATTTTACATAACATCCATTTACCTATATTTAACATCTAATTTAATTTTTAATTCAATGATATGAACTTCCTGTTTACGAAAACATATGCAATGCGAAACACAACGAAATAATTTTTTCATGTTCTTTGATTTCATCAATTTACCGCCTCGCTCGCGAAACACTGCAAAATAGTTTTCACGAAAAAGTTTTTCATAAAAAAGCTACACTATTTACGAAATTAAACGAAAACGTGAAAACACGAAATGCAAAACGCAAAAAATGCATAACATATGCGACCTTCACTCAAACGTTTCGAAGTCGTTAGTGCATATGTATAGTAGTAGTGCACGTAATACGAAGATTCTCTAATAATACGTACTAGATATCTAAGTTTAAATGAGTATAATTTAACTGTAACTCAAGGTAAAAGATATTTTCTCGTTAGTTAAGAATTGAAAACTCGTTATTCTAGAATGATGTGAAATTTCCTATTGTTTTGTATAGGGATGTCGCTCAACGTCTTTTACACAACGATATAATAGTTTTACAACCTTAAGTTCTTTTTTCATACTATTATTTTATTTTGAAATAATTAAGATATGAAATCATCTCATGTTGATATAGACTGTTATATATTATAATCATAACACAGTACATAAATAATAATAATGATAATTCTTGCGGTTTAATATTTTTTTTTAATTTTTTTGTAGGAAACAATTTTTTTTTTATAAGTAAAAAAATACTTATACTTAATAATTATTTTTTAAGTTTTATTTTTAGCAAAATAATCCAAGGACTAATATTGTCTAATTAAAACCGACATTTTACACTTCATTCATGAATTTTTTTTAATAATGTACACAAACTTTTTACACGGAAATTAATGGACATTTTTCCATTTTACGTTGGACTTGTTACCTCATGATCACAAACGTGATCAATACGATTGCACCGATCGGATATGCAGATTTTGGTCCTGAAAAAAAAAATCACACTGAAATCAATATTTTTAAAGATATAAATATTTTTCGATACACAAAACATTTACTTGGAAGCGTAATATAATTTTGCACGTCATTAGTATCGATAATAATATTTAGGTTTGGCCGATATTTTCACCGTTGGAAAAAAGTAATGCGTACAACGAGCGTTATGTTCATAAGGTTGAGTGTCTCAATTTAAAACACGAGTTTTACTAGGTATAAAGATGTTATTAATGGCTTCGATGGTTGTCACGGTTGTAATCGATATATGCGCGCAGTAGTGGTGGGTATATAAATATTTATGATGGCGACCAATGAGGAGTACAACGTTTTACAAAAACATTGCTGCAGTAATGATTATAAATTATAATATCGCTAAAGCTTATTGCGATAATTTATCAAAATTCTTGATTTCAAAGATGTTCAAATTAACTAAAGAATAACCGTAAACGTTCGCGGTACTTAATAATGTTTTATTCGGAATCTTGCTCTTACTAATGAGTCAACAAAACAAACACAATTACGAATTGTTTTTTCGGTTGTATATAGTATGCATAGTAATGAAAAAAAAGTCAACTTAAATATTCGATAGAATTCTTAATTATATGTTACGGGTAATATGAAATAATGGGCAATGTATACATGTTGGGGCACTTTGGTCCTGCCCGGGCAATTTGAACCTCGAATAGAAATAAATAACTGTTAAAATTATTTTAATATACTGTAAAATAACTAATAACTTATTTTAATTTTATAATAATACAAAACAAAATACAAAATATTAGTATAATATTTCTTACTGACTATTTATATTATTCTGTTTTATATCTATTGTTTATCCATATCACATTAACAAAAGTAATAGTTATGCCGACTCAATCAGAAAACAATATATGAACAGTAATTTATTATTTATTTATATTCGAGGTTCAAATTGATCAGGCAGGACCGAATTACCCGAGAAATGTGTACATTGACCGGTATTGCATATTGTCCGTAACATATAAGTTTATGTAATATCATAACTATCTAAAATTATCCGGCCTCGTTCGGTACATTATTATAATATATATATATATATAATCTAAAATAATATATACATATATATATATTATTTTAGATTAACGCAATAATAACTATTTTAACGAAAAAAAATTAGTTAAAAAAAGTTAAATTGTAAAAAGAATATCGTCGTTTATTCTAATGATATAATATTTGTATTTACTCATTTTATTATTGTTAATATATAATTTTTATTTTATATAGCATACTAATTTAAACATACCTCACAATCAACATAATATGTATATTATTCAAAATAAAATATTTCTTGGGAAATTAAAAATGTTTCGAAAAACTGTTTCGACTTTAAATATACCATTTTTGAAAAATCCTTTCTCTATACACTTGTGCATAGTAGTTAATACATTCTCTTTAAATTTTAAATGAATTAGTATGGTATATTCAGGGGTATTTTAATTTTATGTTTAAAGTTTATTTTAAATTACGAAACTCAATTAAGATTTTATAAGAAAATACATGATAATAATTTGCACATAATGCTTTTTCTTAGTTATAGAATTTTTGAAATGATTTATTTGAACTTAAGGTTAGAAATAAAGAATAAAAAAAAAAAATAAGAAAAACCTTCCAAATTATAAGATAATAAGTATTGAATAAATACTTCAATTAAAAATAAAATAATTTCAAAAGGCAATCTATAAATTAAATTAACGATGTAATAAATATTTAGCTTATTTTAATTTAGTTTAGATATTTAAAAATCAAATAGAAAATAACAGAAATTCATAAGCTTACTAAGGGTTTAAATGTATCACTTGAATATTGATCATTAGAAGTTATTAAAACAGTAAAATTAGTCCGATATAGTCAATCTTAACTCATGTTTTACTGTAATTTTATATTATGTTAAACGATACATTCTTAGTTAAATGCAATTATAGTCGTATTCTAATGTTCTCAAAGTAATTAAAAATAATTTTTCAATAATATTTTAGTATAAATCGTACTAGTTGTTTTGAATTGTTTAAAATAATGGTAATTTCTATCAATATTTTGTTTCTTATTCATATGATTGTATTTTTGATGCGCAGATTTGAAAATATTTACAATAATTTATTATATTTCAGTAATATCAAGTGAGTACAACTGTTAATGTTCAATTAATGTTGTGTGTTTCGATTAGATCAATTTATAAACAAAATAAAAATCGAAGACCTCTTATGATATTTGTATAAATGGTTCATTAGTTAAGTAATTGAATGAATATAATTGTACCGGACGTTTACAAATTCATAATATTATTAATTTTATTATTATTGTTAGTTTAAACTCTTCGAGTTATCCACAGTAAACGATTTTAATTTAATTTCAGTATTAGAGGTTCTTTTTAAAATGAAGACTGCAATAATTGAAAAAATGTATCAAAAAATAGAAGGTGTTTATCGTAAATCTCGGTTACATGATGGCGTTGGGGATATATCTCAATTTTAGATGACCATTAATTAAATGTTGAAATGTAATACTTATTTTGTGTTTAGGTGTTTTAAATTATAATTTATGATTTCTAATAATAGTCTAAGCTGTACTATCACTGGCATTAATATTAATTCGCTATTATAAGTTTATTCTCTTTTGTATTTTTAATATATAAATAAACGATTTTTATTCCAGACAGGTCGTGGTAATGGGGATTTATTATTAAGTGTAAATAATAGTGACAGCTTTTCATTAATGGTCATAAAATATATTTAAAAAATAACTTTGATGTCCTTAATTAATAAATATTTTTATTTTAAAAATTAACTACATTTTTAATTTAACTAATGATGAATTGAATGTGTTTTAAAATTATGTGGCTTAAATATTTATATTTTTTTTTTCTACTTTAAATAGGATAACTACTATAAATGCTCATATAGGTATATTTGAAAGAAAAAAAGGTTGAAAAGAGTTGAAAGATTTCAAAGGGCCCATGAGGTTTTATATGAGAAAGAGATCTATTAGACTTAACGACTAAGCAATGACCAACCCAGTGCATCATTCCCTAAGGACAGATATGTTTACCCTACTACATCATTTTTTTAACGCTAAATTCGCATTTTTTCCTTCTTTTCCTTTTTGTGACCAATAATATACTAATTATAACACTCACACACCTTTGTGCAGTATAAATTACATTTTATTATGTGACTCATTTTTATGTTGGGGATATATATTTCTAAATTTCACTATAATTATGTGTAAGTGTATTTTAATAATTCATTTTCGACTAAAAATAAATTTGTGAAATGCAAAACTTTTATTATTTTCCTTGAAAGTACGTATTTAAAAATACAACTGTTTGATTTAAAAAAGCTTCACATTTAAATAGTAAAACTATTTATTTGAAATTAGATTTTTAATATTTTTGTTGCATAATAATTATTTATATTTAAATATAATACTGGTCAGACTATTTAAATAATATTAGGATATTTTATTAAGCTGTAAAATAATAAATTAAATTAATTTATATTATCATATAAATATAATTACACTAAACATTTTTCCTTAAATACTTTTATTTTATAAAGTTTAAACATTTTAAAAATATCAGGAGTATAGATACAAAATGATTTCCGTAAACAATTATTTTATGAGTTTTAAATTCAAAAATAAATTTTATGTGTGCATTTTAAGTTGTAAAAATTACTTAATAAAATTTATCTCACCGTATTGTAAAATATATATATTATATATAATACGTAAAAAGTATTGTGTACCTCAATTTTATTAACTATTGATAATATGAGTATAATATTTAATATATTCTTATTTAAATTTATATTTTTTAATTGTGTATAGCTAGAAGTATATAGTCTATAGTGAATAGTCTATACCATAGACGTATATTTATTTGTTTCCTTTGACTTGTAAAACGCTTTTAATGTATAATATTTTGATAACAAATTATAGTAGGCTATTTTGGTAGATTAAATTAAAATAATTAAAACATTCTTAAACTGTATATTTTTTTAATTTATTATTTCACAGAAAAAAAACATGCTGAAATGGTAGCAGGTGCCACTTAGCCACTTATAGAATACGAGTAATAAAACTGTAAAGTTACCGTACTGTAATCGTTTAATTATTAGTTTCTGTACTTAACTTCAACGAGTTTTTATAATCAAATAACAACTCAGCTCGAATAATTATTCTATTGTTTGGAATATTAATGAGTTTATCTTGATGACTTGTATCACCGAGACTTTTAGTAATTCAACAATCATCAACGGATTACACGCCTAAGAATAATTATTATTTTCCGAGCACCAGCGATCAACCGCATTTGTCTTTCGGCGCTGCTGTTCAGTTATGTCCAGCGTTACTTCTGGATGGATGGTCACCCGGGACTTGTGCAACAAAGCCATGTTTTCTCACACTACGGAATTAAACCAAAGGACCAACAGCGTACAGTATAATACACCCAATGTTCTGTGCTTTTACGGGTCAAGTGAAAAAAAAAAAAAAAAAATAAAGAAAAAAAATTGTATTTTTGTGTTATATAACTATGCTATAGATGTTTTAGCACTAAGTGTTGAAATTGAAGGATAGTATAGTTCAGAGATGGCCAACATTTTACAATAATTTAGCTACATTTAAAAGCATTTTTTTCAAGTTGGTCAATATATATTTATTTATATTATTACATAAAAAAAATATGTCTATTACACACCGGTACATTAATTATCATACCGATCGATTTATTTTTTTTTAAGATTGTGATCGACGAATCTATACCCCCGGATATAGTATATGATAAATACTTGAATCAAATGAAAAATATATTTAAACATAATTCTTCGTGTGTAAAATAATATTGAATGTACATCATTATTCATAGTGGTCAGTTGAACGATAAATTGCAATTAAAATATAAATAATTAAAACAATATAGTGCTCTCGTTCATTGAAAATTAAAAAATGTTTTTCCTTTAATATCATCATTACGCAACTTTAAAAAAAGACAATCTTAAAAGTATTTTTTTTTAAATACTGTAAAAGATATTACATCGCTTAGATATTACATTAAAAAAATAAAATTCACTTGAATACATGCTCTGGATTATGATTCATGAGTTATAGTTACTGACTTTCTAATTAATTAACATAGTGTTTACTACTATACTATATTAATATAAGCAACGTAGAGTCGCAGACTAAAATGATTGTGGTACCATGCACATGGTTATTAGTACGCCTCATATTGCAAATCACATACAAAATGTATGTATGTTTAACATTTCATAATACTTCTCTTGACTTTTGTATGCAACGAGCAATCCAGTGAACAAGTTGATAGTTTTGGTTATCAGTTTTTAGTCGGGAATATGTATCCAAAAATATTTGACTTGATAAAACAAAGAAGAGTTTGTGCTAACCAGTATACTTTAATCACACAACAAAAACACAGTGAAGACAAATTGGTCGAGGAAAATAACGTGTGAGCAAGTAAAGTGTTTGGTCGAATAATCTCTTGTAGCGTAGATATATTATAATGGTTGTGTGCATGTAAAAAAGTGGTAGTGATAATATTAATTTTCATCACAATGTAAGTATAACCGGCTATCTTGTTGATTATGTGGCCCGTCTACCTTTCGCGGTACACCAACGTATCTTGGTCATGTCGATGTGTTTGATTTCCCGAGGGATCAAAGTCATCCTTCTCATTTCAGCGTTTTGAAAAAAGTTTCATTTCGCACGGGTTTGTCTATGGCAGAAGGTGTCACCGATGTCATTTTTTTTGTGCTTCCTGTTTTTATTATTCTATTATATATATTTTATTTTATTTTTTTTTACATTTTTTTTCGTTCCTATAATTTCGTAACAGTTAACGCCCAGGTTCACTGGCATACACACTCGGTTCCGCCGGCGAACTCTTATTGTGCCGAAACGTCACATTAAAAGCTGCGGTGCGTTAAACCATATTTTTCTATGGTTTGTTGTCAAAATCAACACATACTTTTAGAAAACATGCAATCCACCCATATCAATTGTACTTTTTAGTTTAGCTTGTACGGTCCGATCCCATGCTCTAGGCATCTATCTATTATTTCAATGTCGGCGTACGATGTGTTTACATATGAAATCTTTCGATTCTCGTGCTCACATGCCCATAATATATTGTCTATTACACTTTATTGACAAATCACTTTTGACGACAGACTTCTAAATAATTTTAACGAAATTTTATACTTTTTTCGGAAGCCAAAGTGTCTAGATTACGCCACGCGTTTTATCAGCATTTATTGTAATATATCTCGTAGTACGTTCTGCCCTCACTTATCTCAAGACAATATATAGGTAATCGTGTTGAAAGCAATACGCCTGAAATCTATCAGTGATTTTTCTAGCGATATCTGTACAGTTTAATTGCGTTTTTATGTAATTATTTCTTTGTTTGTGGGCAATTATTGTAACTTAATATCCGTGAAACGGACCATACCGTCATTTGGTCGTCTAACATCAGCTGTTGTAACGTATTGTATTACGCGTGTACGTAGTATATAGGTCACGGTAGCTAATTTAGATCTAGACGTTTTATGTTGGCGAACTTATACATTCATTTTCATGTTTTGAAATTAATATAAAGTAACTGTTCGTGATTCCCGTAAGATTATAATAAATAGTTAAAGGTTGCGCTGCATACTAATATAAAGTTTTTGCACAATTCATTGCACAAGTATTTGACATATAATTATAGACTAGTTTTATTTACGAGAATATTTCTTATTTCAATCGAGCTTATTATGTAAAAAAAAAATAAAAATAAAATACAAAATACAAGTAGTGTTGTCGCACTTTGATGATGTATTTCGGAAATATATTTCATTAAAATAGCGCATTAAACAATCGAGTTTTTACTTTCGAAAAATTAGCACAACAACAATATTTATATTATGAACCTATTTGAATTGCTTACCCGCTGAATGATCATGTGGCTGTAGAATGGACGCGAGTCTTGGCTTGTCTTCATCCAACATTACTTCGGTTTCTGAGGTGATCACGTGGTATATGTCACTTTGACATTTTATCTTCAGTTTCCCAGCAACTAAAACGTCGTATTCAATCGACGATAGAGTTTTGAATAATGTACCAGAAGGTCTTTTCAATGGAATTTTTAGTATGTGACCATTACCCAGCTAAAAAAAATCATCAACATTCACAAGTATTATAGTACACTGTCATCCTGGTACACTAGAATAAAAAACAATATTATAATTTAAGTTTAACAGTTTGTTTGTCGCGAATTTCATCGTTTTTATCTGCTAACTAACTAAAGCTCTCATTTCACTTTTATTTTATGAACTATTATTATAACTATAATATAATTATTGAACGCATTCACCGCAATAAATAGTAATAATTTAAAACAATCAATCATGTGGTTGTGATCATACAATTAGTGGAATTACAAATAAATAAACGTTTTTTTTTTTATTTTTACTATGAGTATATCATATTTTCGACCTGATTGGTTGATTGTTATGTATCTCATGTTTCTACTAAAACCCAATTAAAAATCTAATTCGATAACCAAATACAACTTTCAAATGTATCTCATATTAACCACCAATTAACGTTCTACGAATTGAATTAAAAATGTTTTTAAAATATTTCTATTAAAAAATATTTTCTTAACCTTTAATTTCACAATCCAATAGTTAAATTAGGAATCAATGATTTGAAGTTTTTTGTAGTATTGATATATACTATATATTACACTAAAATTGGAATGACCTAGTTTAAGATTTCAAAATCAGAAATATTTGATCATACATATAACTTATTACAATACTGATTCTTATTAAAAAAAATGTATTAATCTTATCAATTTATTTATAGTTTTTGTAACTTAAAACTATTTGAAAATCAAACAAAATACTTTCATAATAATATGTGATGTGGTATTATACTAAATAATATGAAACATTACGAATAAATACAATAATGAAAAATGACAAAAAAAAATTCTGTTTGCATATAGCCAAATGATTGAGGTATTGGCCATTTGAATTTCCATTATAAGTAAGTTATTGATAAATAAATTATCTATGAAATGATTTTAAGGAGAAACTGATTTCATTCTTTCCTCAGAAATATAATTTTAAGCTTTTTTGAGTTCTAAAATAATCAAAAAATTAAGTCATAAAATTTTAATTTCAATCTCAACTATTTGGCAAAGGGAAATATACCTATATATTTAAATTATTAAAAAATATTATTAAAATATGTTAATATTATAAATTTATTTTTTGAATTTTGTGTAAATTGATAAATACTCTCATATGGAAAAATACAAGACATATATCATGCTAATTTTTTATTCTCGTTGTTAAAATACATGGTCACAAAAGTGTTAACAAAGAAGTTTTTGGAAAAATTTATTTAATCAGACATTTCCTAACAGATTTAAGACCATTGAATATTGAACGTAAGGCACAAAAAGGTTAAAAAGTACCTAACGAACTTACTTATACACAATAGACTTTAATTAAAATATCATTCTTTTTAATAAGTTTTCGGGAAAATAGTTAACGTACCAAGATACGTCTATAGTTAGTTTAATTAATTAACCATGCTGCGATAAGAAGACGCGTTGTCTTATGTCTACTCAATGAAAAGCATAAGAAGAAATGAGAAGAAGTTGGACAATAATAACGGATAACACAAAAAACTTAAGATAAAACTGTTTATTTATTTATTTACTTTTTTTTTTTAATGATGCAGGTATCTATAATATAATAAAAAATCTAAATTAAGAAGCAAATAAAAAATTTACTGAAGTTTAATAAACATTAACATAATGAATATTATATTTAAGTAATTATCGTGATATATGCTAAATTATAGTTATATTGTACCTCTTTATCATTTATAAACCAAGTGATATTAGCCGCTGGGTTTGAGGGTGGCGATGAACAATTTGCTCTCAATTTTTCACCAATAGAATATTGTGACTTTTCAAGATGCAGTTCAGGTTTACCATCCATCGTTCCTGAAATACAAAAAAAAAAATAAATAACTGCGCTATTATTACTTAATTAACATAACTGATGAATGTTGTAAAAACATGATATTCTATTGTTATTTTAATTTTTAATTTCTTTAAATTTTTATGATTGATAAACATCATCATTTAGTGATGATATTTATCAATTATAACTGACTCGATGTTTTAAGGATGAAATCTTCCAATGATCTCACTTCGGCATTAGTTTTAAGTTTAGTGGTGACTATTTTAGATTAGAGTATCTTAAATTAGATTAGATCCCACGACCATGGCCACTTGAGTATTTTAGGAGGTTTCTGGAGGTAGAAATAGTTAAAATATTTTAAACATGGATATTGTTGTGGTTTTGAAGCTGGTTTCTAAATTTGGCCCACTGAATTTCTATTCATATTACACTTATATTTGTATTATATTTAATGTTACAAATTTATTTATTTGTTTTTGACTTAATAATTTTTCCATATTTATCTAAAATTGTATTCTGTTTCATGAAAACGAATAATGTATTATAATATTGTGAAAACAAATCATTTGTTTATTATTTGATAGAACTGACGTATCCAACCAATAAACTAATAATATTCATATTAAAAATTATGAAATGTGATGTATACATAACTAGCATTCCCCTTTGGTACTATTTTTATTGTTTAAGTTTAAAAAAATGTTTTTAGAATAAAGCCTTGTACTAAATTCTAAGATTTTTTTCATTGATCCTTGTGGTATTCCATTGGAATAAAGGAAGTGTTGTGTTCATTTATTTTGTTTTTAATGATTTAATTTTTCGATTAATGATAAACTATATATTACAATTATTAATAAGACATATTATATATAATTACTAATAAGACATTTTTTTGATATGCTTTATTTTGATTATAAGAATATTTAGTTATATATTAGTTGATAGTAAAAAGCTTAAAAAAATATTTAACTATTAATTGATTTTTAAAGTTTAATATCAATAACGAATTTTGAAAGTCATTTCAAACTATTAAAATAAATAGTCACAAATTTCAAAATAAATGCCAATAAATCACTCAAAAATTGCGTTTAATAATATGTCATATATACTTTAAATACTTCAGTCATTTTTGCAATTTATAATGGTAATAAATGTTTTTTATTAACAATTGAATATTCGAAATACTTTAAACACATTTTAAAAAGTTTTTTTAAGCTAGAAAATGAAATGTTATAACCTTTTAATATCTTTAATCGCTATGGGTACACGTCTAGCTTAGGTTTGTTACGAGTCGATTTATGTTTTAAATAACGAGGGTTTCGGACGCTGTGTCCTTAGCCGACACTATTTTTGAACTGTTGATATAAATCTACGAGATAAATATTTTATTATTAAACTTACGGACAACATGCATCCAAGCCGCTACGATTTGTGTGTGAAACGTTGGCGCGTCCGCACTAACTTCGCATCTGTATTTGCCGTCCAGGTCAGGTGTCACATGTCTTAACACCACTTGGTTTTGTCCCGATTCGCTGACCTATTGAAAATATGATTAAAAAATATACATCTCAAACACACATTTTTCACGTTTTCGGAATACATATTTAATTCACTGCTAGAGGGAAGGGGGGGAGGGAAAGCGTTTTAAAACTTAGGGTGGCAACGAGCCACGTGAATTTTATCAGTTATTCCATTCGGCCGGTTCTACTGGAAACGGTTACGCTACACTAATTACATATGCTAGACAGATATACGTATGCATACTTACGTCTACGTTTATGGTGGCCAAAGGGAACACCCTCGTGTGCGGCAACTCTTTAGGTACGTAACGAAAAAACTCCTGCCTGCCTTTGTACCACTTGACCGTGTACAAGGCTTCTTGTTCTAAGTCGTAATCACATCGCATTACCGCTGTGGTCCCTTCTCTTATAGCTATCGGGACTTCGATGAACACGTCCTTTAGACATGTGACCGTACCTGTAAGAAAAATGTAATTTAAGACCAATACAAGCAATACGACGTAATCGAATCAAGTATACACGTTTTTGAATATACTGTTCTATGAGCAGTAGTTACGTAAGTATGATATGTGTGTGTGTAAAAATTTGTATTTTTTAATACTGATTTCCTATATGCTATTAATTTTTAAAAATTCACGATTTGATTTTTGTTCAATTACATTTTTATAAAAAAAAAATGGTATTCCTGGATTTTAAACTAAAAATACCGGTATAGTTGAGTTCTATGAGAATCTACCATTAGTTTAACGCAAGAGATCAATGTTAATTTTTAGGGATTTTTCAGTTACGTGCTCTATTTATGATTGATATTGCAAGTGCTTGGTTTAGACTCTTATAGCTAATAAGTCAAATTTTATGTTTATAAGTAACCTCATAAATAGAATAATTGATTCTACAATTATTTTTCTATCTCATGTTCTAACTCCTTTTCCACTTAACATCCATATTATTTCTCTTCTTATTCCAAAAACCAATACGAGTATACGATATGAGAATAATAAACCACTACTCCGGTTTATAGCGGCTGATAATCAGAATTCAAACCTCTCTTCTTAACTAATGCAAAATATTTTATTTTAATTAAGAATTATAAATTTATATGTTAACTTTATTTATATGACTATAATTTTTTTTTTTTTTTTAGTAAACCTGTAAATTCTGTAAATTAGTTTAGTTTAGTTTGATTGAAAATTAAATTAAGATCAATTAAATAAATTATAGCTTTCTCAAATATTTAAATCATTGGTTTATGTTTTGTTTTCGTCATTAAGTTTGTATTTCGAATTTCCTGGTTAATAATATATAATTATATTTATAATAATTATAATTTTTAATTACTTCGAACGAAGACTTATATTTAGTTAGATTTATGTTATTATAGTTGTCATTTATTGGTTTTTAAATTAGCTTCTAAACATTTTAATATTTTGTTTTTCTTTTGTACTATATATTTGACAATGGTTCATATATATATATTTTTACCATTTGAGACGATTTTTATCGTGTTAAAATAAGTTTCTGTAAATATTTGAAGTGTCTATAATTTGTATCCAACATTTTTAATATGATAAATCGAAATAAATACAATAATAGGAATACTGTAACCTAAAATAACATTTGTGCAAAGGCGAAAGTTATATTAGCTATAGGTCGCTTACCTAATACTATTACCCCTTGAGAGAATCTTGAAAGTGTAAATATGTAAAACCGACAACCATTTTGGGTAAATGCCCGCGTGTACAGCAGTTTGCCGATTGACTTGGTTGCCAATTTTAGTAGAAATCTGTATGTGCTATGGGATCTCCCTGGATTTTCGTGTTTTCTTCCTACGATGTTGGTGTTTTAAAGTTGTTGTTTATCACTTCTCTTTTATTGGAATTCTATTTATTTTATTATTGTTACCTGGGATGGATTTTTTCACTGACTCGTTAAGAGTGATCGCCTCAATTTTAATTCAAATAGATTAATTTTTTTTAGCCTGGCGACAAATTATCATTTGAAATTATATTTTCACTGTGATTTGTACGAACGTAAACAGTCATAAAATAATCTTTTTTTATTCACGCAATACTTTATCACTTTATCAAGTTTTAAATACTTTTTCAATTATTGTTTGATTCGATTTGTGTTATTACGATTAATATGATCATATATTCAAAATTCAAAATCAACTTCAAAATCTACTGTAAAAAATATTTTATTGTTTTGTGGAATTCATGTCTATAAATTAAATGTATTTAATTTAAAATAAATTAAAAAGAACCAAGAAAATTAATATTGCTTATTTATTAAAAAAAAAAATCACTTTATAATATCTAATACGTAGAATTCGAAGTATGAATATTTTAATATAAAGTTTTGTTCTTCACTGTCACAGATTTATGAAGTTGTTATATCGTAATATGTCGTATGTGATGATTATAATAATTGTCTTACGTACAGGTTATTTAATTATGTGTGAACGAGAACTGTCATTAATCATTAATGATGATTCATTACCGCGAAATCAAAACTGATCGATAATGCTATAGCGATTTTTCATATTATCATTGTCATGTATTTCCATATACATCGTACACTCACTGATAAGTTGAAAACTATTACGCAAGAATCATTGGCTGTATAATACTCCAATAACTTTATCCTCTCGAAAAAAAATAAATCGATTCGGTCAGTGTAGGTTTAAAAGAATAGAAAGCGTGCAAACTTATCACTCAGCCTTAAGTATAATTTTATATACTAAGTCAGAAAATTTGATACTCAGGAATACAATATTTTTATATTTATATTAAAAATAATTAAATAATGTTTCATAGCAGTTTTTTTTTACCATCAACTATTATAAAATTAAACTAAAGAAAAATAAATTCTAAATTTCTGTATTATAATTTTTAATGTGTGATTAGTGAAGTAGTATTATTTGGGTACATATTCAATCAAGTTGTCCAGTCCTATAATAATTTGCCCATATTATCTTCTCGTATTGTATATAATTACAGGTTTTATGTATTCTTGTTTACTCTTAATAATAATAAGTGATTTGTGTAAAGGCAGTTTTTTGATTTATATAAAAAATTTTTAATTTTGAACGTTTTTATTTAGATAAATCATCAAGATCAGTGGTTCTTAATCTGTGGGCTGCGGCCCTCTAGGGGTCCGCGATACTCATATCGGAGATCCGCGGCAGTTATACCAGGTTATACCAGTTATAACCGGCAGTTATAGTTAACATATATAAAATTGAAATAATATAAATACAAATATAAATAACTGAAAAATGGAGTGTAATAAAAATAATTATAAATCTATATGTTTTGCTATGTCTACTAATGTAATTTATTATATAAAATAATTATTATAATTTTGGTTTTAATAACATATGATATTTTGTAAAAAAAATGTATTTGAAAAAAACAATTTGTAAGGGAATCCACAATTTCTAAGAATCATTCATCAGGGGTGGGTCCATAATCAACAAAAGGTTAAGAACCGCTGATCTAGATAATGTACAGCAGTGATTATAATACATAGTTTCATTTATTCTGACACGATGAAACTAGAAAAATAATAACATTCCGTGTTGGTTATTTGCTAGAGTAGGTTATTTGACTGATTTTTTTCACAAGTATTTTGTCTTTTTAAAGATATGTATATTATAAAACCATATTACAATAAAAGCTAGCTTATTTGTCGATGATTTAATCATTACTTTTTTTTATAATAAAAATCTAATACCCGGATTACTGAAATTGGATATGTATATAAAATGTTTTGTTTATTTGTTAATAGGATTTAGTAACTACAAAATTATACCTATATTTGTATAATGTATATGATAGTAATATTTACGTTTGATAATGATTCCAAATTATGTAGAAAATAGAAGATTGAAGATACAAAAATTATATAAAAGAAACATTATAAGTACCTATAAAACTGCTATTATGTATTAAACGGGACATTGCAGGCACTTAATTATTTCATGACATTTTATCGTTGCATTACCGTTAAAACACCCAAATGGTTTACAATGTTGATATAAATGTCGTTACATGTTTATTATTTTTAAGTAATTTCAATTAAAAGATAAAACAAAAACTATTGTCTTATAATAAACGGCTGACAAGAAATACAAAACGTTCATAAAAAAAGATTGTTAAACATAGAACGAGAAATTTTTAGGTACTTCATAATATATATTGTACTGAATTTTCTAGCAAATAATTTGCATATGAATATTTTAAGTGAATATAAGCCTGTGGCTTCTGGTCGTTGGTCGATTATGCATTATTTGATTTAGGTTATACGAGTATATTGATTCAAAGCATTATAGATTTAGATTTCTTAAATAAATAATTTTATCAATTACTAATATTTTGATCTTCATGCATCGCATAATATTATAAATTAATTATATGTAGCAAACAAATAACACATTTTTTTGAGTAAATAAATGTAATATTTTCTGGATTAGGAATTGGACCTGTATATTGAATTTTGATTTTTTCAATAAGAAGGTATGGTTAATACCTACGAAAGATGTAAGTTTATAAAAAAAAGAGGTTCAAATTTATCATTGCAGAATCATCATGTAAAAGAACTTAAAATGATTCTCGGGTTTCAACGAAATATTTCGTTATATGTATTTACTTATAACTTCTAAACAGTCCAAGAATATTTAAATTTCTACGAATTGTTTATTTTAATATTGTTTTTATTTGCTTCAGTTATATAAAGTATAGTTGATAACTTGTGGATTTTACACAAAAATAATATTAATTTAAAAATATATATTCTGTTTCGGTTTTTTTTAATTTATAACATTTGAGATTTTTTATAAATACTGGAAAATGAAATTCAAACTCTTACACATTTGTATTCATTATATATATATTTTTAAATCATTCATAAGTTTTATCTTGCACGAAATTACAAAAAAATCTTGTAAACACTTCATATACTTAGTAAGACACGTTTAGAGTTGTTTTTAAATGTGACAATATATGACCATTTTTATATTTATAATAATAACATAGGCTAAAACCAAAAGGAGTATTCAACACCATTATTTATAATAGTATGCAGTGTTCATATCAAAGTAAATCTTTTTTTTTTAGTTAAGATATAGTTGCAAGTGCATAAGTAATAATCATATTATAATGATCATTCAGATTATATTATCGTTCAAGTTTGAATTAAAAATTGTTTTGTATTCGTTGGTTTATTTTTGCTCATGGAAATAACCAAAATATGAATTATGTCACACCTGTTTGATTACAATTTTATTTTAGTTCTCTTATTTCAATAAATAATAACAATAAACCTAGAAATTTAAAGTATAAATAATTGTTTATTTCAGAGATTTACAAAAATTAAGTATAATTATTAAAATAAACTTTTCTCATTTCAGTACAAAATTTTACTTCCTTGAAGATTATTTTCTTGCGTTTAAGTGAT